TGGATATCTGTTTGAATCTGTTTCAAGGATTCCATTTCTTTTTCTATGTTGGGCATTCATAATTTCCATCATTTTCCTGAGCACCTCTATTTTTATCTCTATCTGCTCTAGTGTCACTAAGAATATCTTTCACTATGGTCACCATCTCTGTAGTTACCTGAGAAATTATTTCCACTTTGATTTTTTTTCTAGAGGCTCTTTCACCTGCTTTGTTAGTTCTACTGCTACCACTTCAGAGAGTTTCAGATTATTCCATCTCATTGCCACCTGGATTTGCCTGTGATGAACTGAAAGTCTTGGCTTGCATCTTGCATAAGTGTCTTCTCATTTTTTAAAAATTTAATTCCTGGATTGATGCTTGTAACTTGCTTATGGTGAGTAGCTTTTTTGCCAATATTCAAAGCCCTTAGGAAATGACTATTTCACCAGGTGTTTCCCAGATGTAGCTGGATTTTGGGTTTTGAGACTGTTGTAAGATCCTACCTCTTCAATTTATTGGGGATGAGAAGTTGCTGCTTACTTGGCCCAGCCCCTTCTTCTTTGGCGCTAGTCTGTAGTAGTTTTTAAGACTCTTAGGTACTCTCAGTCTTGGTATACGAGAAAAAAATAGCTGATCAGCACAATTATATCACCTTCACTGAAGTAGTACTATCAGCAATAGCAATAGCATCAAACCACCTAGAAAATAACAAACTGTAGTAGCTATTAATTTGCCACCTTTATCCATATGAACTAGATTTGTGGTTATATAACAAAAGCTAAAATGAGCTAGAAAATTATATGCAGTAAATAAGCCTTCAATGTGGCAATTTTACCCTTAGGGGAAAACATAAAAGGGCTTAGGGGTAAAAAATAAGAAGGAGGAGGAGGACAATGAGGAGAAGTAGATTAGAAGCAAGGTGGGAGGACAAAGTAAACCTCACAAACTTTGGGAAATTAATGAAGAATACAGGATGGAAAGAGAGAAGGAAGAAATAAAAACAAGAACAGAACAAACTAGAAACTGCTCATATCCTAGAAAAACAAGAACAATCAAGAAAAAAAAAACAAGCAAAAATCCAGAAAAAAGAAAAGAAAAAAAAATTTCCAATCCAAACCATGTCTCTGCTGTCACTGATAGACAACATGGGCAGAGTCCAGATCCAAGCAGATTAATCCCAACAAGCCAGCTAAAGCTTTACAGCATGGTAGTGCATAATTCCAGCAAGCCTGCAGCTTTAGTTCCACTGAAGTTCAGGCTGATTTCTGGCTGTGAGACTAGAACTGGATTTGTTGAGCCTGCAACAGTCTGTGTGCCTCCTGCCAGCTTGACTTCAGCTCCCTGACCTCTTGCCAATTTGAATTCAGCATCCTCACTGCAACACTGAGAGCCACTAGATGGAGCTGGCCCACAACTATTCTGAGTTCTGAGCTCAGTCAGCCCCTCTCCAAGATGGCTATTGGCCAATCACCCTCTCCTGGATTACATTTGAACTCAAATAACTCACCAGCCACTGCAGTCTGCTACATCCACTGCTCCATTCCCCAAGTGTATTTCACCATGTGTCTGCAAGTTCAAACCACCTTTTACATGCCATGATTCCAGGTTCAGGGAAAAATAGCCACCTGCCACCTCTCTCCTTTGTTGCAGTCTTTCTCTTCACTCTCCCTATGGGATTCAATTCTCTCTTGAGATCCTTTCTGGGTCCCAGGGACCCACTCCTTCTCCTCATAGCACTATATTCCAGTGTCAGGACACTAAATCTTGGAGGCCTCTTCTGCTGCTCACCACTCTGTCATCTTCCTGGAAGTCAGGAATATTATTTGTTCATATGAGCATTTGCAGAGGAGAAAATATATTTCTGCTTTTGCTTTAGATCTAACATGCCTATAAGGTATCTAAGTGCAAATATCAAGTAGATAGTTGGGTATACTCTTCTGAAGTTCAGATATAAAAATAAAAATTTGGAATTCAGTAGTATTCAGATGATATTCATAGTGAATGGCTCAGAATATATAAAGTGCTCTGTAAAATCTGGAGAAACAGGGCTGGAGATTTAGCTTAGTGGCTCTGTCACCTGCCTCACAAGCAAAAGGTCCTGAGTTTGATACCTTCTATAAAAATAAAAAATCTGGAGAAACAAAACCAAAACTTTAATGGAAAAGTGGGCAAAGGATATTTTAAAAGGTTTCAAAAGCATTTATCAAAAAAAAAATTATCAGAACATGCTCAACTGCCATTCAAAATGGAATTAAAACTGAAACTGTAGTAAACTAATAAAGTTTCTCTCTTCCATGATTGGTAATATCCAAAGGTGGCAGCCTAGTCAATTAATGAAAGTGTGAAAAAAATAAGTATTAGTTCACATTGTCGTTGGAAGTGCAAAGTGGAACAAAAGCTGTACCAGCAATATTGGGCAATATTTAACAAATTTCTATATTCATATTATTCATTGTTTATCCTTTTATACAAAATTACCCTGGGGATACATCTGGATAAATTGAAGCAACTGCACAATAATTGTGATTTTATTTTTCATAGCAAAGTGTTAAATTAACTGTGCCACAAACATAGGAAATTTGTTGAGTTAAAGATAATATAGTCACAGATTGAATACCATGTAGCGATAAAGAGAAAGAAAAATTGCTTTATGTACTCATATCAAGTGAATGTTACAGTAATCCCAGAACTCAGGAGGCTGAGGCAGGAAGATCACTGTGAGTTCAAGACCAGCCTGGGCTACATAGCAAGTTCCAGGTCAGTCTCAACTACACCGTGAGACCCTGTCTCAAAAAAACAACAACAAAAACCCCAAAAAGCAAAACAAAAAAAAAAACCCAATCAAGTGAATGTTACGATAAATTTTTAAATGAGTGCTCAAAAGAGTATACATGATAAAGGTGTTATAAAAATTAGGAAATACAGAACATACAGTCTTATTTTCCTCTTGTTTCTTAACAAAATATAGTATACTATGCATACTGTGAGAATTGTCTATTTCTCTCATCAATTCTGACAGATCATGAATTTTGGGACTCTGTTATTAGAAGCATGTGTTTACATTTGTTAGATTTTTCTGATTGAATGACTTTGTATCATTATACTGTGGCTTCATTTGTTTCTAATAACAATTTTCATCTTAAAGTATATTTTATGTACTCTGTATGTAGTATAGGCATTCCATTTCTCCTATGAATACTATTGGCATCGACTATGTTTTCTATCCATGTAGTGGATGTGAATTTATGACTCGAGACAAGATATAGTCAGTGATTTTTCATCTATTGCCAATTTTTGCACTTTGGTGGGACTATTTAATCTGTCTACATTAACATAATTTCTGATAGAATAGAAAACATAGCACCATAAAGACAGCTTAATAACTATTACTTTATATGTAAAATATATAGTTGTATTTTGTCATAAGGCAGAAAAAAGAATTATTAAAAAAGATAAGTGAAAAAGAATCATAAATAAAAATAAATTTTACTAAATTCACATATAGTCTCCTTTATAATTATTCTTTATTCATGTGGATTTAAATTTCTGTCTTTTGTCCTTTCATTTCAGCCTAAAGAGCTCCTTTTAGCATTCTTTGTAGGGCAGACTCACTGGAAGTCACATCTTTTTGTTCATCTAGGAATGCTTTAATTTCCCTTTCATTTTTGAAGGATCATTTTACTGTATATATCATTTTTGGTTGTTGATCTTTTTCCTTCGGTGGTGAATATGTCATCTTCTGTCTCCTAATCGCTATGTTGTTGTTGTTGTTTTACTAAAAGTCAGCAGTTATAGAGGATTTCTTCTTCATAAAGAAAGCCCCATGCTCTCACTGTTGTCAAGGTTTGCTCTTTGGCCTTGACTTTGGACTGTTTGTGATGTATGTAGGTGTGCATCACTACAGCGTGTAATAATTGGTGTTCGTTGAGCTTCTTAGAATAGCAAATTAATGTTTTTCATAAAATTTTGGAAGTTTTCTGCTATTATTTCTTTCAATATTCTTTCTATCCCTTCCTCTCTTGATTCTCTTCTTTAGGACTCTCATTCACATATTGGTATGCTTGATGGTGTCCCATAGATTTCTTAGGATTTGTCATTATTCTTTACTCCTCTTTTCTTTTTGTTTCTCAGACTGGATAATCTCAAATGATCTATCTTCAGGTTTACTGATTCTTTCTTCTGCCAGTTGAAATCTTCTGTTTAACCTTTTTAGTGAGTTTTTAAAATTTTTTCATTTGTTCTATTTTTCAAATCATAATTCCCATTTTGTTCCTCTGCATCATTTCTATATCACCATTGTGGTTCTCTATTTTTGTGAGACATCATTCTCATACTTTAGTTCTTTAGATCTGGCTTCTCTTTGTTCTTTGAACATATTTATTGTAGCTGACTTAAAATATTTAATTAATCCAATGTTTGAAGCACAGCTTTTACTAACTGCTTTTTTCCCCTATGTGCAGGCCATACTTCCATATCTCTCTCTCATTTTCTGTTGAAACTGGACATTTTAAATAATAAAAGGAAGTAACTCTGGAAATCAAATTCCCCTATCCTCTGTATTATTTCAGTTTACTGTTGTTGATGTTAACTGTTTAATGATTCTCCTGGGCTAATTCTGTAAAGTCTGTATTTCTTGTCTGTACAGTTACTGATGTTTCTACTTAACAAATTTAATGGTCAGCTAATAATTGGACAGAGATTTCCTTAAATGTCTTGAACCAGTAAGTCTCACAGCTTTTGCCAAGGGGTGGTGTGTATGCTGGCTTACACCACCAGTGCTGCTGCAGATAGTTTACAAATCTGCCTTACACTTCACTTCTTGCTTTTGGGACACCTTCAGGTTCACTAGAGGTGGGAGATGGGGGCTTTCTCCAGCCTTTCTTGGGCATGTGCACATGTAGATAGCCAGGTGAGGTGGTGCACATCTGTGATCCCAGCACTTGGGAGGCTGAAGCAGGAGGACTGCCACAAGTTCAAGGCCAGCCTGGGCTCCATAGTGAGCTCAAGGCCAGGCTGAACTACATAGCAAGAGTATGTCTCAAAAAAGATAGGCAGGGAGGGAGAGAGAGGGAGAGAATAAGAGAATATCAAAGGCTGTACAAACATCACATTCACCAGCTTTCAAGTTCTTTGGTCTGCTTTGTCTCAGTCCCATATAGTATAATCACCTCAGGTAGCATGACATTAAACAATTGCAGCTGATTTTTTTAAAACAAGTTTCCTGCTCTTCCCAAGTCTGCATGGGTGAACTATGAGTCAGTTTAAGTAAATAGACACACTAGGTGTGGAGATTTCCAGGGATCTCTCAGAAAGATAAAACAGAGACAATTCTCTACATTAGGAATTGGAGGGAGTTTCACAATTCTCTGTCCCTTCAAGTGAATGCTGGTTTTTATAGATTTCAAGATGTAAAGCTAGTGAGAGGGGGATCTAAACAGCACAAAGATTTCTGCTCTTACCTAGATACTCACTGCTCTTTTTCCTGAAGGAAATACTCCTCAGATTTTTGTGAGGCTCTGGTTAATTTTCAGAGTTTTGAAAAAGTTGATTTTGATGATTTTTTCTAGCTTTCTGTTGATATGAAGAATATTCTCAGCGATCTTTATTCAGCCACTGTGGAAAACTAATAAAAATTACTATCTATGATTACTATCTATGGGTTGGGGGAAACTCAGTAGTAGAGCACTTACCTAGCACACATGAGGCCCTGGGTTGGTACACACACACACACACACACACTCAGAGGTACATGCTTGCACAAAATTACTATCATGCTGGCTAGGCAAGCTCTACCACTGAGCTATATCCCAAACCCTTTCTATTTATTTTGGGACAAAGTTCATCTAAGTTGTCAAAGAGGGCCTTGAGCTTGCAATCCTTCTGCCTCATTTTCCTTAGTATGTACTTCTATGCCTAGTTTGATTTTTTTTAAATGTATGTAATTTTCTAAGAGTTTGTGTTTTTTTTTTTCTGTATACTGAAAGGGCCTGGAAATAATGATGCCCTAGTAGTAATTAACATACGTATCATCAATTCTTGGCTTCTAAATATGAAGAAAAACATGAAACATTTGGAGAAATGAATGATTCTGGAATGGGGCAAGAAAACAAAGAAGGTAAGCCTTGGATATGTTTTTGTGCCAAAAGTAAATGATTGCTCAAAGACTATTGGGAAATGTCAAAAGGATACAGAAGCAAGCCTGAGTGGCTCTAATGGCCAAATTAGTGACAGTTTGAGCAGGAGATGAATAATTATGGTAATGGACTATTACAATATATTGAATACAAAATTACCATTAGTATTAGCCTACAGTAATACTAAAGTGACAAGAAGAAAATTAAGTGAAAATTTCTTTCTTTACTGAAGGATACCTGCTAATAATCACAGAAAGAATGACAGATTAAAAGAATAAAATAACCATTCGACAATACCCAGTGTCACAGTTCATTCAGGCAAGGATCATTCATGAATGCTAAGGTATTGCAAAAAATATTTTTCAGTAACAAATCATCACAAGATCTCCAAGTATCGCCATACAACTTACTTTTAATTCCAAAGAGGAAAGATGTAGCTTTACAATGGGGAGGTCCAGAAGTCTTTGCTTAACTAAGTGATTAGACCTGGGGACCACCAAGAGGGATAACCTGATAGGAAGGGCCTCCTGATTAGATTTCACTAAAAGCCACTATATCATCAGGCATGTACACACACTTGTAATCCCACTATTTGGAAAGTTGAGGAAGGAAGATACTAGCCTGGACAATTTAGACCTGATCTCAAAGAACAAACAAACAAACAAACAAACAAGCAAACAATATCACTTGTGTAGTTTTCCTGCAAAAAATGATGAACATGAATTTAAAGAATAAACAAAAAATCCAGACTAAGATTTCATAACCTTGGCACTACCAACTTTTTTTGTTTTGTTTTGTATTTTTGAGACAGAATCTTATTATATGGTTTAGTCTGGTCTTGAACTCACTGTGTAGCCCAGGATGCCCTTGAATTCACAGAGATCCTCCTGCCTCAGGGTCCCAAGTGCTGAGATTACAGGTGTGCACCACAATGCCCAGCTTGACTTTTTTAAAAGAGCAAACTTAACTAGCTTTATTTCAATTCTGTAATCAGACAACACTTCATTCCATAAAACAGCATAAGTGTTCAGGTGGGCTGAGTAGAAAAGCTTGCTTTCATAAGTGAAGAAAGACTAAAGAAAGTAGAAACGAATAGAAAGTAGATTGGTCATTTCAAACTTATTTTCCTTGTTAAAATGGAGACAAGGACACAGAATAGAGAAATAGTTGATTGGCTAACATCAGATTATTTCAGGTTACTTCTTTTGGGTAAGATTAAAGCAGAGGAAACTTCGTTCTCCTGCCAACTGAAATTATTCTGTTTGAGAAATACGGCTGTTATCTCTATTATCCTGATTTTAAGGAGGGTCAGGTAAACAGTTTAATTTCATCTTGGAACTTTGGTGTCAGTGACCCCATTTGGGTTTTTTAACCTGATCTATTGAAGTCTAATGTAGGAGCTTAGTGCAAAACAAGAGCCCTTGTAATTTTTACTTAACAATTCCCCTCTTTGGCATAAAGGCAAATTTAGGGCATTAGTGCTACTCTTGTTTAGGATCTATTATTTTGGGTTTCTGGACTCATTGCATGATTTAAAGGTAACTGTGTCTTCATGAAGAGACATTATTCTGAGTTCTTATTGTTCCAGCCAAAGAGACACCTTTTGATGTTCCCTAATGAGATTTTGGGCTAGGTAATTCTTTGTTGTAAGATCTGTCCTGTGCATGGTAAAATATTTAGCAACATTCCTGACCTTTTCCCTCTAGATACCAGTAATACCTTCCTAATTGTAACAACCAAAAAAAAAAAAAAAAAGGCTTCAAACATTGCTAAATGTCACCTAGCGAGTAAAAGTCTTATGGTTGAGAATACTATAGTTTGCAGAGGAGAGGTCTTTGATTTCTTTCATTAGGTTGATTCTGAGGTATTTAATTTTTGGATGCTATTGTGAAAGTTGTTTCTCCACTTCCCCTCTCAGTGAGTCTGTTGTTCATGTACAGGAAAGCTATTGATTTTTGTGTATTAACCTTATATTCAGCTACTCTACTGAATTTGGTTATTAAGTCTAGAAGACTTTTGGTGGAGTTCTTGGGGTCTTCTATAAAGAGTATCATGTCATCTGCAAATAATGACAATTTAACGTCTTTGTTTCAAAATGTATAATAGATAATGTAAAATAGGGAGAAAAGGTCCAAAGGGAAAGGGCAAGTGGGAGGGACGGGGGAAGGAAAGAAGGGAAAGGAAAAAACAGAAACAAAGTCCTTGTAAATAGAGAGGTGGAGGGATTGAAGGGAGGGCAGGGAAATGGAGAAAAAATAAGAACCAAGATATATCATGTAAAGGTACAGGTTTCCAGTGATGAATGTCATCATATTGTATACCTAAAATGTACCCATAAAATTAAATTTTTTTAAAAGCACTGTGGTTGAGAGCCACTGATCTACAATCATTTAACAAAAGTAGATGCTTAAAAAAGTTAATATTATGAAGAAAAAAAGTGAAACAAGTGGGTGAGGAGGTTGTTTATTCTGCAATAAAAGGATAGAGATAAAAATTCCCTATAATGAATATTACCATTATGTATATCTAAAATGCACCAATACAAAAAGGGAAAAGAGGCAGTAGATAACAACAACAAAAAAAGGTGGAAAAGAAAAAGAATAGAGAGACAGTGATAAAATATAATAGAAGAATCTTAGTTGGGTCTTAAACTTAGAAGAAAAGCTTCTAAAAAGTCATATTTTGGAGATTTGGGTAAATTCAAATACAGACTGCATATTAAACAATTTTTTGTTTGTCTGTTTTTTGAGATAGGGTCTCACTATGTTGTTGAGACTCACCTGGAACTCACTATGTAGCCCAGGCTATTCTCAAACTCACAGCGATCCTCCTCCCTCAGCTTCCTCTGTGCTGGGATTATGGGCATGTGCCACCATGCCCAGCCAAACAATATTAATTTATTAGTAATTTCCTTTTCCTTTTTGAGGGAAGTGATTCTTGTTTACGCCTTTTTTTTTAGACAGAGTCTCACTGTGTAGTTCAGACTGTCCTTGAACTCACTATGTACCCTAGGCTGGCTTCCAACTCACAGTGACCCTCCTGTCTCAGCCTCCTCTAGTGCTGGGACTATAGGCATGTGCTACCACACCCACCAGAGGAAAGGCGTTTCTGAGCATCAAATTCTGGACCACACACATGCTATATCACTGAGCTACATGCCTAGACTTATTGTTAATTTTCTTTGATGTAATAGTAGTATTATAGCTATTTAGGAAAATCTTTAATCTTGGAGTGCACATGCTAAAGTATTCAAGGAGAAATGAAAAAATAGAAATAAAGTTTTTGTAAATAGGGAAGGGAGGAGTGGGTGAAGAGAGGGCAGGGCTATTGGGAAAAAATGAGAACCAAGGCCTGTCAGGTAAAGGTACAAGATCCCAGTGATGAATGTAGCTGTACTGTATACCTAAAATGTACCAATAAACTCAGTGAGAAAAATAAAGTATTCAAGGAGGAATGTATCATGTTGACTGAAGTTAAACTTGCTTTCAAATGCAAAAAATAAAGTGAGTAGGGCAATGGGGGATGGTACCAAAATGTTAGCAATTGATATGGCTGCTCGCAGTAAGATTGAAATTTTTCGAAATAAGAAGTTGAAGGGATGTTTGGTAAAATATATGGAGAAAAAATTAAGTTAAGGGCCTCAAAAATCACTCAGAAAGGGAATGGAAATAAAGGAGAGAAGATGACGAAGGACAGCATCCTGGGGAAGCCAAGAAGATTGAGAAGGAGGAGGAGGAAAAGGGAGTTATGAACCATGGAATCTCCAAAAGAACCCATTTGAAAAAGGGCTTAGTGTTCAACATTCTCAAATGCTGCTAAATTCAATAAGATCCAACAGGAAAACCAAACATTGATTGTGGCAAGACATATGTGGGTCATTAGTGACCTTGACCAAATAGTGAGGACAAGAGCCCAATTTTACTAGTTTAAGGACAAGCTGGAGATATTCAAGAGTGAGAGTAAGAATAAATAATTCAGCCAGGCGTGGTGGTGCACACCTGTAATCCCAGCACTCCGGAGGCTGAGGCAGGAGGATCGCTGTGAGTTGGAGACCACCCTGGGGCTGCATAGTGAGTTCCAGGTCAGTCTCAACTATATAGTGAGACCCAGTCTCAAAAAACCAATAATAATAATAATAATTCAAGTGATGAGCTTTATTGGGAAAGAGACTAGGAAGTCAGGATTTGGAACAGGGAATGTGTTCGAAGCAAGTTTTTATTTTGTTTTGTCTCTGTTTTTGAAGATGAGTAACATTAAGACACGTGCCTACACTAGTGGAACGATCCAGTGGAATGTGAAAGAGAATATTACAGGAGAAAAGTCTTCGAGTAGGTGAGAGGGGGTGGGATACAGAGAACAAGTGGAAGGGCTGCACTGGTGGAAAGAGAAGACCAACAGAACCCTCTGATCACACTGTTTTTTTCCAGAGATCCCTTACAAAGACACCACTGGGATGAGGGGGAGAATAAGAACTACTATCTCAGAAAGTAAAAAGTGTTGATTATTTTACACTGTTAGCAATAAAGAATATAAAAAAGCAAAAGTAAAAAATGTACTAAGAAGTGGATAGAATAGTCTGGAAGTGTTGCAGATTCCTCTGAGACCTGTGGCTAAAGACTGAGAGTGAGTTCAATCAATATGGTGGGGTGATTTTCTCATACAACAGTTAATTTTTGGGGCACAGGTGCAAAGTAAGAGGATAGCTTGAATTAACTATAATAGACTTTTATCATTTTAGTGGCTTCTCAGACTCTGAACCCTTTCTTTTAATTTATCAGAACCTCTTTTCTATAGTCCCTATATTTGAACCCTTTTTCCCATCCTAACATTGGTGAATGGCATAGTCTTCCCCACATAGAAGCTAAAAATGTCAGATACTTACTTTCCCAGTCTTCTTTGCAAATAGGATTAAGCACATGGGCTAAGTGCAGCCAATTAAAGGTAGTGTCCTGAATTTTAAATCCAGAGGTGAGAATAAACAGAGGCAATGGAGAACCCTCCCTGGCAATGGTGAAGATGGTGGCAATAGGAGCAACAGTGCGTCTGGTGGTCGCCCATTCCCAGGACTGTGGCATCTGCCTACATTTTTGGACTGGCAGCAGAGGCGTCCTCATCAGATGATCAATTCTAGGACATGGTGTTAGTTGTTGTTCTTACCCTGAAAACTCCAACTTAGTTCTCCAGATCTCCGAGCAATTCTTTGACTGTCTGCAATGTAAATACTTCGTTATAAAATGTTATGTAAATTATTATAAAACCATTGTATTCATTTCAAATTAAATGGGAAAATTCAATTTCTTACAACAGGCAAATCTTGTAGCCTAAATGAGAAAATAAAATTGGTCCTAATAAATCTATTTTACAAGTTTTATGAATATCTCAAATTTGTGGTTAAAGGTTACATTCCTAAGAGATTAATCAACAACAAAAAGCCTCTTGTGCTCTAACAGAAGGATATCTCATGGAATCAATTTACTTCCTTCTCCTTGAAAACCAGTAAACACAGGTTGAGAGGAACACTCATCACAATGACAGCAAAGCAAGCATGTAAAACTCAATCATGAATGAGATCTTTGGTGACACCTGGCTAGTCTCCCACAGTGTTAACTTTTTCTTCCTTCTTGCTTAGATAATTATAAGTAGAACAATACTTGCATTCTCAAATAATTTTGGCAAAAGTATGTCTTTTCTCCAGGCTTCTCATCAAATATTGTTGTGATTAACATGTTTTATTTCAGTGCTCAAGACTGAATTCAGGGCCTTGAGCATACTGGGCAATCACACTATCAATGCTCTGTTTTGTTTTGTTTAGACCAAGGCTAGATTAGTTTTGAGTCTTTAATTTAGAGCCTACATCACTACATTTAAAATTACAATTGTACTTCTTTTTTTTTTTCCTCATCTCATTGCACTGACTAGGACCCTCCAATAATTATTAAATTAGTAGAGGCAAGATGATTGTAGCTATTCTTTAAGTTATGCATTGCAACTTGCCTCTTCCTTCGGTGACCTGTGTAAATCTGTTCTCCAATAAAGCTCTAATGGTAGACTACCAGAGATGCTAAAATAAGTGGAATGGGACATGCACATATTAGTCTAGTCTCTCGTTTCACTTATTTTGGCTCCCTATTTTTCCCTCTGTTCTCAATAATACCACCTTTGCTTCTCAGACCTCTTATATTAGTTTTCGTTGTTGTGATTGGTTGGTTGGTTGGTTTTTTCAAGACAGGGTCTTTCTATGTTGCCCAAGCTGGTCTTGAACTCATAGGCTCCAGCAATCCTCTCTCCTCACTTCCCAAGCAGCTGACACAGGTGTGTACTCTCCCAACAGAAAGGCCTCACATTTAATTATTTTTGTTGTTAATCTCCATTTTGCAGATGAAGCATTAGTCTCTGATGTTGGAGTCTGAAGTCACATAACTAGTGACTGCCTCAGAATTTGTGTCGTCTATCCCTAATTTTTTTTTTTTTTTTTGAGACAGGGTTTCTCTGTATAGTGCAGGCTGGCCTAGATCTCACTAGGTAGCCCAGGCTGGCCTTAAACTCACAGTGATCTGTCTGCTTCCTGAGTGCTGGTATTACAGGTGTGTGCCACCACGCCCATCCCGTCCCTAATTTAATAATCATCTGAAGCTCCTAGTCAATGCGGTGAGATGAAAGAAACCAGAACAATTGCAATTTTAAGTCTAGCAACATCGACTCAAAATTATACCATTTTCAGGATATTCCACAGCTGCTGCCTTCCATGAGTTTGCTTTTGTTCTAACAGGAAGCAATGAAATTTTTGTTTATATAATGAAAGGCATTTAGCCAATAAGGAAAGAACTTGAATTAAATTCAATGTTAAATTAATAAGAAAAAATTTTAATTTAGTTTTTATAAAACCCAAAACTAAAAAATGACTATTTTAGGGAGCTGGGGATTTAGCCCAGTGGTTCCACCGCCTGTCTTGCAAGCTCAAGAACCCCACTTTGATCCCTGTTACCCCCCCATGACTATTTTATATAAAAATATTTTATTTTGGAAGATTCAAATATCACGAAAATGAATGATTAAATCAGGCCCGGTGGTGCATACTTGTAATTCCAGCACTCTAGGAGCTGAGGCAAGAGGTTTACAAGTTTGGGCTCAGCCTGGACAACTTAGCAATTTTACAAGATCTTTTTTCAAAAACAAAAAATAATAAAAGAGCTAAGGATATAGCTCAGTGTGAAGGCCCTGGGTTCAACCCTAAGTCATTGCCCTACTTGAGTCCCCCAGTAAGGGATTTGGATTTTTCTCAATGCAATAAGTGGCCATTGGGTTATTTTAGGCAGAAAACCAAGAATTCCATACTAGATGCTTCTTATGGGCTACCTTGGATTTTTATCCAATCTAGAAATAAAAAAAGACAGATGCCAGGGCCCTGTTTCCAGAAATCCACAAAATGAACCATGGACTTCTGATTTTGTATTATGTTGCAAATGGCTGAAATACTGTAACTCAAACGTGGCTACCATATATTAAACAGATTTGCACTGGCATCCTGGTGTGCAGGTCAAATCATTTCATGTAGGGACAGGGTGCAAAAACTGTCCCCAACAGAAAAGGGAGAGGTACACCTGCAGATCAGGGTGAGGGTGCGCAGTGGCAGCCATGACCTTTGATTTCGCCATATTGCGACGTACTGTGGTTTAAATGGGCCCAATTCTACCAACTTTTTGATTAGATTATCAAGCTACCACCAACCCGACTCTCTGACCTGGACATGGGGCCCACAAAGATGTGCAGATTAAAGATAAACTAACAGAGCCAGCTCTTGCCTCAAACAAAGACACGGCAGAGCTGATACCTCTACATCTAGTAGGAATCCTTTGTTACCCCATTATGAGGCAGAAACAGAGATAAGCTAATCAGATCTTACTGAAATAGGGTGAGGGAGAGAGACAGAGACAGAGAATAAAAAAGAAAGTTTCAAATATATATTCACATCCACTGTTATTAATGATGCATATCACCTAGACTGTTTTGAAAAAAAATAATATGAGCAATTTTAAACAAATAATTATAATAATTGCTAAAATGTCATTAGCAAAGTGTTGTTGAGGCCAGAAGCTTAGCTCAATCACAGAGCTCATGCTTAGCATGAAGCCCTATGTTCTATCCTCAGCAGCGACAAATACCACAACAAAAAGTGTCCCTGTTGAAAATAGAATCTCCTAAATCTGGAAATTATTCCTGTATTTCAGTGACTGCAAATTTCTTAATGAAACTAGGACTATTCTCAATCCCTTAGCACCATGTCTGGCCCAGTGTACGTACTCAATTAATATTTGTTAAAATATATGTGTGTGTGTGTGTGTGTGTGTGTGTGTGTGTGTGTGTGTGTGTTTCTCTCTCATCAGACTGTCAACTTATACTCTGAAGACTCCCCCAGACAGTAAGGATCTAGATCTCCACACATGTTGAAGGTCCAAGTCTTGGTCTCTTGTCCTGAGTACACAGGAAGCCAGCCAGCCACTGCAAATATAATTTGCAGCTATATTTAGAGTTCTGTCACCTGAGGGGGTCATCGTTAATCAGGGCACAAGGGCAGCTGCAGCATTTTGGGAGTAAACTGAGGTGGAACAAGAAGTGAGGAAGTGGGGCTGAAAGCCAGGAATTGGCCCCAGGCTCATTTAAGAAAGCCACAGGGCAGGATGAAAATGCATGGCTTATACTACACCTAGAGTTGGAAGGCAGGCAGAAAGAGGAGCTTAACTTTAGAGAGAAACCAGTTCCTGGCTTGCTCAGGGAAAAACCAAAGGCCCTGACATCAGCAGGAAGAGCCCTCAGCCCCTTGAGGCCCCTTGCTGCCTTGCAGGCAGGTGGGTACAGGGTCAGGCTCTGAGGTCCTTTGCTGCTGGGTGAGGCCAAGGTGAGTGAGTGGTTCCTAAACAGGCAGTCAGCTGCGGTCAGCACAAAGAGCTGTGATCATAGGACACCATTCTCAGGGGAGAACTGAGAGACAAGCTGACATTGCAGGACTTTTTTTTTCAAGTCCCCAAGGGCCTTCTTTGCCCCAGATTTACTTGATCACATGACTGTCTTGGGAGCTGGAGGATGCACCTTAGATGATTCTGGGTGCATTTGCTTCTCCTTTTTAGATCTAGAGCCTATCCTTATCTTTCTGGTGGGACCCTTGCGAACATCACCTGACTACCACTCCTTGTTTTGCCCTTGGATCTATTTCGGATCTTTTCAACAGTGCTGGCTTCCCACAACCAAATCTTATCTGGAATGTATAGATACTTATCTGTCACCTCGGAATCATTATATCTCCAAGAAATCATCACAACAATCACAATAATGAACACATCCTTCATCTCCAAAAGTTTTCTCCCATCTTTTGTAATCATCCCATTTCTCTTCAAAACCCCCCAACCCACCTCCTACAACAACCACTGATCTGCTTTCTGTCACTATAAACTAGTTTGCATTGTTTGGAGTTTTATACCTAAGTAGAATCATACAGTATTCTCCAAGAAATCATCACAACAATCACAATAATGAACACATCCTTCATCTCCAAAAGTTTTCTCCCATCTTTTGTAATCATCCCATTTCTCTTCAAAACCCCCCAACCCACCTCCTACAACAACCACTGATCTGCTTTCTGTCACTATAAACTAGTTTGCATTGTTTGGAGTTTTATACCTAAGTAGAATCATACAGTATTTATTCCTTTTTGTGTGGTTTCTTTCGGCATTAATTATTCTGAGATCTATCCATGCTGCTATGCATATTTTTTTTCTCATTGAACTTACTGGTACATTTTAGGTATACAGTACAGTTACATTCATCATTGGGATCTTATATCTTTACATGACAGGTCTTGGTTCTCAATTTTTCCCCTTGTCCCTGTCCTCCCTTCACCCCCTCCTTCCCTATTTATAAAAACTTTATTTCCATTTTTTGTTTTCTCATATTTTTTTCTTTTCCCTTATTTCCTTTTCCCTACCCCTCCCACTTCCCCTACACCTTTAGCCCTTTTCTTCCTATTTCACATTGTCTTTTTTTGTTGTTTTTTCGGGGGAGGGGTTTGAGACGGGGTCTCACTACGTAGTTGAGACTAACCTGGAACTTACTATGTAGCCCAGGCTAGTCTTGAACTCACAGCAATCCTCCTGCCTCAGCCTCCCAAGTGCTGGGATTATAGGCATGCACCACTACACCTGGTCTCACATTGTCAATTATACCATTAGGTGTGAAAAACTATAATTGCACATAAGATTCTAATGCTATGTGTATTAATAGCTTATTTTTTCATTGCTGAGTAGCAGTCCTTTGTATGGCTATATTATATTTATATATTTACTTGTTGATAAATATTTAGAAGGGGTTGGGTTGTATGTATGTTTGTTTTGTTTATTTTTTGAGACAGGGTCTCGCTAAAGTGCCTAGGTTGTCCTTGAACTGGTGATACTCCTGTCTCAGCTTCCCAAGTACCTGGATTATAGGTGTTCATCACTATGCCAGGCTTGTTTCCAGTTTTTGATTCTTTGGTGAAGTATTTATTCAAATATTTCCACATATTCAATTGCATTGCTATTTATTTATTCAATCTTTTTTTTTTTTTTCAGACAGGATCTTGCTGTGTAACCCAGACTGTCTTTGAATTCATGATCCTCCTGCTTCTACCTCCTGAATGCTGGGATTACACACACCACACAGGGATAAAGGAAAGTTGTGGACCATCTTCCCCTCTCCCGTGCCCCTCCAGAGTCATGTGCATGCCAGGTAAGCACTGCATCACCGAGCCACATCCCGAGCCCTGTTTTCTCATCATTACATTTTCAGAGGTCTTTTTTGCACAAAGCAAAAAGAGAAAAAAGAAAACCAAAATGTATATACTCTGCACAAGATTTTATCAGATTTTACTATTTGCAAGTATTGTTTCCTAGGCCATGGCTTGTTGTTTCATTCTCTTAACAGTGTCTTCCAAAGAAAAATTTCTAATTTTAACTAGGTGTGCTGGCGCATGCCTGTAATTCCAGCACTCCACTGGCTGAGGCAGTAGGATCACCATGAGTTTAAGGCCAGGCTGGATTACATAGTGAGTTCAAATTTCCAATATAATTGAGACCCAAAATGTTGATTTTTTTTTCCTTTTATGGATAATGCTTTTGATAAAGTATCTACAAAATCTTTGCTAAACAAATAGTCGTGAGAATTTTCTTTTAGAAGTTTAAAGTTTTACAGTTAGCATTTAGTTCTATAATTCATTTTCAGTTTTTTTAAAAACTGTTTTGTTTCTTGATATGAATCTTTTGTGGTTTCAACACTATTTGTTGAAAAGACCATTTCTTCTTTTTTGACTGAGTTGCCTTCGTAACTTGGTAGAAAATCAATTGACCGTATATGTGTAGGTCTATTTCTGAATTCTTTACTCTGTTCCATTGACCTATTTAAAGAGTGGAAAAACTATCCTTTCTCCAGTGAATTGCCTTTACACATTTGTTGAAAATCAATTGACCATACATGTGCAGATCTGTTTCTTAACCCTGTTCCTTCCACTGATACATTTGTGTTTATTCACACCAATTAACCCATAGCTTTTAATTACTGTAGTTTAATAATATCTTGAATAAAGTAGTTTTAAGGCCTCCAATATTGTTGTCTTCCATGTTATTTTGGCCACTCTAGCTCCTTTGTATTTCCTCATGAATTTTAAAATCAGTTCACTCCACTAAAGAAAAACCCACTGGGGTTTTGATTTGACCCAAGTTGATTTTGTAGACCAGTTTGAGGAGAATCAACATCTTACCATCTTCTGATCTGTAGTAGTAAAAGCAAGTGTCCTTTTGCCCTATAGTCTTACACCACAATCAACACAGAAGACTTCTGAAAAACAGATGTGAATTTCCTCCCCCAGCAAATGAACAATTCTGCAGTGATGGGCACTAGATATGTCCTCTAATTGAATTCAGTTATACACGTTCTACCTGAGATAGCATCAGATCCCACAGGCTGGGGGTGAGTCTCAACACTCTCCCTCTCCCCCCACCCTCTCCTTTAGATGCCAGTCAGAGTTTCATGTTTTCACTTGTCTTTCTGACTAACCAGTCATAAATTGGGATTCCATGACCCTTTCCTCAGGTTCAATTGCTCTGCTCAAATGGCTCATGGACCTCAGAGGAACACATAACTATATATATTGGTTTGTTATAAAGGATCCTACAAACAATACAAATGAAGGGATGCATAGGGCAAGTTACAAGGAAGGGCTGCAGAAGTCCAACGTGCCACCCTCCAGGAACCTCCAAGTGTCCAGCTATCTAGAAGCTCTGGGAAACCTCTTGGGTTTTTATCATTGCAAAGGCATGATTGAAGCACAGATAATCAGGTCAAAATGTGATCAGATAAAAAGAGTATGATCTAACGCTAGAGTGAGTAGGGAAGCTCAGCAAGGCCTGTCTACTTTAGCATTCTTTACTAACCTGTGCAACATTCCTCCTCCAGGGTATGGGAGGACCCTTCTGGAATGAGAAATCTTATGACCTACTATCAAACAAGGGTAGGTCACAGAATTTAATAATGGCCAACTCCAGTACAGAAGGGTGTGGAAAGATTAGAGCTGTATAACCTGCCTAAGGGAAGAAAATTCTCGGGGGGGGGGGTTATGGCCAAGAACTGTGGATTAAAAACTAAAAATATAATGTCACATATTTAGAACATGCTATAGCTTTCTACTTATTCAGATTCTGTATAATTTTTCTCATCAACACACAAGACTTATATATCTTTTGTTAAATGTCAGGAGAGTCCTGAGCATTTAATTTTTTGATGGCATTGTAAATAATATTGTTAAGTTTCAACATCTGATGGATCTTTGCTTGTATGTAGAAATACAACTTACTTTTGTATTGCATTCTGCAATGACATTAAACTTACCCATCAATTATTTGATCTTTTCTATAGAATCTCCCACAGACAGACAGCCGTATCTTCTTTGCATATAGTTTTGCTTTTTCTTTCCAACCTGGATTCCTTTTATTCTCTTCCTCTGCTTTATTGTCTTATTTAGTACTTTCAGTACAATGGTGAATACAAATAGGGCAAGCAGACATTCAGTATTTCAGCATTAAGTGTGATGCCTCTTCTAACTAGGTCCCACCTTTGAACACAAGACTTGGGGGGACATTTTAGACTTAAATCATGCCAGTCATTGTGACAGAATACCAGAGACCACCCACTTTTAATAAGAAAGATTTGTTTTAGCCTCATTTCAAAGGTTTCAGCCTTGCTAGGCCTTGCTGTTTTGGGGCCTGTGGTGAAGCAGTACTTCATGGTGAGAGCACGTGGTAGAGGGAGCTGCTCACCTCATGGGAGTTGGGAAGAAAAGATAGAAAAAGAGGAAGGGCCAGTGCCAATATCCCCTGCAAGTGCATACCCCAGTGACCTAACTTGTTTCCATGAGGCTCCATCTTCTCATCTATAAATGTTGTCTGGCCTTTGGGTTTTCTTTTAAACCTAATATGACATATGTCTCATCCCTCTTCAGTTACTGACTAAAACAATATATTTTACAGGTGTTAATTTTTATACCAGTATGAGCTTGATGATTTCACGTTTTATTGAAAACTAACTTTTAATACTAACTGCATAGGCCTCTAGACCTACAAAAGTCTAACTCTGACTTTGGGTCCACTGAGACCCAAAGGGGCCCTCATCAACCTCCACAACAGGCATGACCTGATTCCACGTCACATGTCCTCTGGCCTACAGTGGAGATGCGTATCCCTGCATCTTATTCACACAGGAAACCTCATGTGCGGTTGGTGAACACAGCATGAAGTCAAAGTTGTGACTTTTCTTGAAGGTTAGGGGGAGGCTTGCTTTGAAAGTTTGCTTTTATTTTGCTTAGTAATGATTCAAAGATTCAAAGATAGCCTGAGAGCCTGGCTATGTTTGCCTTTGACAGGAAGTAAAATGTTTGGTTTTTGTTTTTTTTTTAATTTTAGGAAATAGTATATCCTTTTTCAAGAAAGAGTTGCTACCAGGGTCAGAAGGAGGGGACAGTGGGGAGTTAGTGTCCAGTAGATTTTAGCTTGGAAAGATGAGAAATTCCAGAGATGGATGGTACAGATGGCTACACAACAATATGAATGGACTTACTGCTACAGAACTACGCACAGAAGGTGTTGAAATGATAAGTATTATGATATATACAGTTGACCACAGTAAAGAAGAAAAGAAAAAAAATAAAAGATTTGCTAATTTGAATTCTTTTCTGGGTAGGACTTTGTAGGAAAAGCTGAAATTGGATAAGCGTCCACAGGCTCTCAGAGTGTGAACCTTTCTTTAAATTATGATTTTAAAAATAAAATTGTCACCCTCACACTGTCCCCTCAGTTCTCAGTCAAGAGCTGGGGATTTAGCTTAGTGACAATGAGCCTGCCCTGCAAGCTCAAGGTCCTGAGTTCAATCCCAGGTCCAAAAAAAAAAAAGTTCTCAGTCAACAGTGACTGTGACCAATGCTTATCAGGGCTCTGTGGACCAGAATGGAAGAGACAGAAAAGATATTGTGTAAAAATGATGTAGTGTTTGCATATAACTTTTACACATCCTCCTTCAGACTTTACACCATCTCTAGGTTATTTAAACATCTAGTAAAAAGCAGATGTTATTAAATAGTTATTATACTGTTTGCTTAGGGGATGATAACAAGGAAAAATATTTTATATATTCAAAAGAGATGTAATTAAAAAATTTTTTCCAGTCCACTATTGTTTGAACTCATGGATACAGAAGCAGTGGATAAGGAGGGCTAACTCTATGTGCTGTTGTTTTAAAAGGACTGTTTTAGTGTGTGTGCTGCCAAAGTGAGCACTGAAAGCATTGTTTTGGTAGCAAATGACAGCAATATTTCTTGGGCTGGTTTATACATAAACAAGAAGGTATTAGAAAGAACCAGGAAGTGTTCAGGGTACACTAATTTTCTATTTTTTCTGCCTCACCTACTTCACGGCTCAAAACACAAATGAGACAAGGTATATAACTCAGTGGTAGTGTTTGCCTTGCATCCTCAAGTTCCAGTATTCAATCTTTAGCACCACAAAACAAACACAAACACAAATATATTCTTTCACAAATCCTCAACACTGCAAAAACAAAAAACACATATGTATTCTCTTACAGTTACAGAGATGCCAAAGTTCAGCAGAATATAATGTGTTGACAGGTTGATTCCTTGTGAAGGCTCTAGGAAATAATTTATTTCCTCACTTTTTCAGCTCCTAGAGGTGCCTTCATTCCTACGTAGGTGTGGGAAGCGGCAAATAGGAACACAGCAGCTCTGGCTAGAAACATATGGTTGGCAAGGGAGACGGGAATAGTGGGAAACATTTTCTCAAATGAAATAATTGTTATTTACGCCAAAGACTGAATAAAAGCCTATGAAGACAAAAGAACAGGGATCCACTCTAGCTACGGTAAACAGGTATACCCGTGCAACATTTGCATGGAGCTGAGACATGTCTTTGTCCTTGGAACCATAGTACCTACAGTGCGCTTAAAGGTAGACGAAAGGTTATTTTAGTCACTAGGGTTGTGTAAGTTACTCAAAACTCTGGTGATTTAAAAACCATTTAGTTTGTTCACAGCTGTTTGGGTCAGGGCCTTGGGAAATGGCCAGTTCTCACTGTCTCTCGAGCCATTGCCCAGAATTCACCTGAAGGACAGGCAGGACTGGATGCCAAGATGCTTCTCTTGCCATCAGGCTTCTGATTCTTGGTGGCTCAGATCAGTTGTGGCTGTAAATAAGGTACCTATGTGGGCTCTCCAGCAAGTGGGAATCTCAGAGTAGTTGGGTTTCTTGTGTGGTAGCCGGCTTCCTCCTGGACAAGCATCTCAGGATGATGATGAGTCAGAAGCTACCTAACCTTTGCTGACCTGGTCTTCTAAGTTAAGCAGCCTTACTTTCACTACATTCTATGAGTCACTAAGGTCAAAGAATTTGTGGGCATGTTTTATTTATTTCTCACTTTTTATTTATTTATTGGGTTGTTTTTTTTTTTTTTTTGAGACAGGGTCTCACAATGTAGGTCAGGCTGGCCTTGAATTCATCATGTAGTCCATGCCTTGAACTCTGGGGAGTCTTTTTGCTTCAGCCTGGAGTGTTGAGATTACAGGCATGCACCACCACTCCCAACTTGAACATGTTTTTAAAAACTGCAAAGTAAGTGTAAAGGAAGATGCCATAGGTGTGATGACTAGGCGGGGCTAAACTGACAGGCCATAGACTGTGGGAGACCAGATGAGAAGAATGAGGCCTAATTGGCCTCCTCGGTGAGCACTAAGAAGAAAGGGGGCATGCAAGTGTACTGACACAATCCATGCAAAAATAAAAACACCTGAGAACCTGTTGTTTACCCAGACAAGTACCATGGAGGGAGGAAGACAGATGAATCCTGTGTAACTCTAATTGCTCGTGCCAATTTCTGAGTGAATAAAGCCAAGTTGTGCCAGTCACTTGGGGCTTTATGTTGAAGGGAGACATGAGCCCCCGGCCCTCCAGATTTTAATCTGATTCTGTGTCTCTTTATTTTTCATTCTTGTCACCCCTTGATCAGGTCCAAGGTCATAGGCTGTTTCCTACAACAGAAAAATTCTAGGTTCTCTTGACAGGTAAAAAATAAATAGAATATGATCAAATTGGCCTCCAGTCAGAGATGAATAGGGATGGAGCTAGTGAATTTTCATTTGAGAATGAAGAAATCCCAAGAATGAGAAATGAAAATCACTACTATCTCTACATCCCCATCACAGGGTGAATCCCTTGTCTCACTTTTACCAGCTCTTAGAAGCTGCCCCCATTTCCTGCCTCACAGCTCCTGCTTTCCATCTCTCCCATCTCTTGCTTCCATCATCCTATCTCCTACTACTCACTCCAAGTTTCCCACATCCTTCCTCAGAGGATCTAGATGATTACGTAGGGCCCACCTGTATAACCCAGGACACTCTCTCCATCAAAAAATCTCCCATCACTCGGCAAGGTCCCTTTTGCCATCTAAGGTAACATATGCACAGGTTCTGAAGGAGATGCAAGAGGTGGCTGCCTCCTGCCCACCCCAAATATGACACACTCACCTTCTCACATTTGAGCAGGAAAGATAGCACTTCAAAGCCGTGGGAGCAGGGCGGGGAGAGGAGCTACAACACTTGCTTCGCTACTGTTGTAGGTGGATTAGTGACAGTTTAGAGATAACTTCCATTTCCACCCAAGGGCTCTCCCATACCTCTCTCAGAGCTCTTTATATACGAGTTCAGCAGGGCGTGGTGGCACATGCCTGTAATCCTCGCACTCAGGAGGCTAAGGCAGGAGGATCACCATGAATTTAAGGCCAGTCTGAATTACTCTATGTAGCAAGACCCCCACATACGCATCAGAAAGATGAGGTCTTACCTGGGTGTGGTATCGCATGCCTGTAATCCCAGCTAGTTGAGAGGCTGAGGCGAGAGGATCAAAAATTCAAGGCCAGGCTCAGTAACTTAGTGAGGCACTGTCTCCAAATAAAAAGGGCTGGAGATGTAGCTCAGGGATCCCTGGGTTCAAGTCCTAGTTCTGCCAAAAAATATAATTGAATAAACAACAAGATAAGCTCTTGTATCTGTAATTTGTAAACATATCCGACATCCTCAAACAATAAAAAGAGTTTAAGACTCTCAAAACTCCAATTCATAGGTAACAATGGTTAACATATTGGTGTACAACTTTTGTACATGGATTTAAACATATAAGTTTACAAAATTGTCATGCCTGCTGTCTTATGATGGACTTCATTCTTGCTATAATGTGTTTTAATCACTTTTCTGTGGCAATATATACAGAATTGCATTGCTAATTTTATTGGTTTTGTAGTATGACATAGAATAATATTTTAACTAGTTACTTCTAATTTTTCACTATAAGGTTTATCCTCAACCTCTCAGCCATTTGACTGAGTATTTTAGGGCAAATTTCTAACCCTGGGCTTGCTGAGTCAAAGGCATGCTCATTTAATATTCAGATATCTTCTGGGTTAAATTGTGTCTCCAAAAAGCCACACTGAAATCCTAACGTCTAGTACCTGGGCATATAATCTTATGTGGGTCTTTGCAGAACAGATTAGGTCAGGATACGAGTCCTAATATATTATGACCAGAATCCTTAAATAAAGGAAAAATTTGAACACAGGCACGGCATAGAGAGGAGGCCGTATGGAGGCAGAGAGGAGACTGGCAAAGTTGCAAGTCTGGCAATGCCAACAGTGGCCAGCTATCCCCAGAAGCTAGGAAGAGGCAGGGAAGGATTCCATTAGTCTCCTGTGCGTTCAGGAATACTGCTGACAGCTCAGTTTCATATTCCTAGCCTGAAGAGCTTTGAGACCATAGCTGTATTTGTTTTAAGCCACCTAGTTTGTGGTACTTTGTTATAGCAGTTATAGCTAACCAAAACAGTTGCATAAGGCCAACTGCCTTCCAGAAACGATGCATCAGTCTAAATTCTCACTATAACAAACTGTTTTTTTAACAGAAAGAAAGAATAACCAAGGAAACAAAAAAATTTAAAAATAAACTGTCTTTACCTGGGCATAGTGGCATATGCCTGTAATCTCAGCACTGTGAGAGGCAGAGGCAGGTGGAGGATAAGTTTGAGCCAAGCCTGGGCAATTTAGCAAGAACTTGTCTCAAAAAAACTTTTCAAAAAAAGACTGGCAATGTATCTCAGTGCAAAGGGCCTGGGTTCAATCCCCAGTACTGAAAAAAATATCTATCTTTATACAGTACTTGTTTCTTTAATATTGGTGACATGTAGAGCCGGGGATTTAGCTCAGCTATTCTGCAACCTGCCTCGCAAGCACAAGATCCTGAGTTCGATCCCCAGTACCAAAAATAAAATAAAATATTGGTGACATGTAATAACTTCATATATTTATTAATGATTTGCATTTGTGCTGGGAAATGCCTGTACATAGGTTTTCCTGTTCTGGGGGTTAAACTCAGGGCCTTCACACTGAGATGCATTTCCAGCCCCTTTAAATTTTTTTTTTACATTTGAGACAGGGGCTTGCTAAGTTGTTAAATTGCCTGGGAAGGGCTCAAACTTGTGATCCTCTTGTCTCAGCTTCCCAGAGCACTGAAATTACAGATATACATCACCACTCTTTGCTGCCTGTAAACACTTTTTGCCCATTTTTCTTTTGGGATATTAATTTTCTTTCTTAATAGCTTATAAGAAATGTTTTCAAATTGGGAACATTAGGGCTGGGGATTTAGCTCAGTGGTTGCAGCACCTGCCTCGCAAGGGCTCAAGTTCGATCTCTGGTACCAAAGAAAAAGGAACATTAACACTTTACCATATATGTACTAAATATTTATCCCCATTCAGACATCTTTTACAAGTATAAATTTTCTATGGCTTCTGATTTTATAGCAAATCAGAATATCCTTCCCTACTCATAATTATTTTAAAAAGAAAATTACTCATATTTTCTTCTAGTGCTTCTATAGTTTCATATTTTGAAGGTAAATCTTTGATTTGTCTGGAATAAGCTTTCCTGCAAGAAGTTGCCCAACTATGTCCTATGATTCAAGGTATCAGACTGCAGGGAACAGGGAAAAGGGACATTACTGAAACCCCTGCAGTGAGACCTGGTGGCCTATGAGCCATGACAGCGCAAAGAGAATTAATGAATGAAGACAGGAAACAAGATTTAGAGAAGAAGCTGAGCTTTGGGCCTGATCGGTGCTGTTCTGGACAGCAAAGACAAAGGGCCCCAAGGTTGCCACACTTTTATTGGATTCATAGGGAATAACAAATGACTGAGAAGGTGGCAGTAATCCTAAAATGATGAGGAACTTACATTGATGAAGATCTCAGGTTGATAAGGAACTTGTGTTGATTAGGAGTGTCAGACGAGCAGAAATGGTCCTACAACAGCAAGTGGGATGAGTTAAACTGATAAGGAATTTGTCCCTCCCCAGTACTGTGAGAGGCAGAGGCAGGAGGATAGTAAGTTTGAGCCTAGCTGGGCAATTTAGCAAGACCCTGTCTCAAAGATCTGAGTCTCAAAGATCCAGGATGTCTTTAGCTGATGTAATCTTGCCCTTCAGCTTCATGTCATCATGAGACCATTGAGGTCTCAGCTGTGACTGGAGGAAAAATGGAATTAGGTCTCCACATAGCAAAGCTGGCTTGCAGGCAGGAAAATTAGGCCTAATCACAATTTAATTGAGAAATGACTTTTCCCAAAAATTATGTAGAATTAACCCCAACATCAGATGACATTATTACTACGCTTCCAAGCCTCTAGTCTCCAGTGACAGACAATTCTCAACAATGTACCAGTTGCCACACCAAGGTCTTTCTCCTATACCAGGAGATTCCAGCGATTGGCTCTGGTTCTACATTTTAATGCCACATCATACAAGTAGACCTTCCATGTCAGCAGTTTCATGATTGGAAACCATAAATCATGATCCCCTGAAATGTTATTTCTGTCCATACAGCCCTTTCTTTGATTGTTTCACATGGATTAAAGGACACTTGACAAGCAGCACAGAAAGTAATTTTATATATGATTTGGATTCTGTGATAAGCAGAAACAAATGGCAGAAGCTGGGTACTACCTGGCAGGATGTGCTTTTTTTTGTATTTGTACACTTTAGGTAAAAACAAATGATACACTTAGAACCACCAAAAATGTTTATCTTAATTAGCTTATCCATACCCTGAATTTACAAAAGAAATTTCTTGCACCACAAAAAGTAGCATTTGGATTAATTTACATTGATCAATATTATAACTAAAATGTAAAAAACCTGAAGATAAACACTGGCCACGGGCTCACCAGCTGGGGGCTTGGATGTGGAGAGAAAGGGATACTTAGGAATCTAAACTGATGATACTCTGAGATCAGCTCTAATAAACAAAGTTTGAGAATACATAAAATGACCAGTAGATTTTAGTATGATGAAGAAGTGGTTCCTCCGAAAAGCAGGTATTAGATAACACAGATGGGAGGAGCTTAGGGGTTTATTAATCTGGACTGGAAAAAAAAAGTATGGTTTCTCAGAAGAGGCCAACTTCAGCCAAAAAATGAGAAGAAAGCGGCGAGGAGGGTATTTGGTAGATCCGAGACTTCCAATGCCGATAATGCCAAATTTAGCAGCTCTCTACACCTCTATTAAAATACCATTCTCTCGAGACATTTTCAGAGAGAGATAACATACAATGGGGAAAGTCATCCTACATTCACAAGGCATTCACTGGTCCACAGCCTGCTGAAAAACACAGGCAGACATTAGAGTTAATATAAATTAAAACAAACTCACTAATTTGCTCCAAAAGGATGACAGCTGTGTGGTCCCAGGTAAATAAAACCTGAAGCCTGATTAGCAGAGATCAAGACGATTATGTTCCCTAAGTACCACTTCAGGAATACAGCTAGAATAAGTTTGTAGAATCCATGGGTCTCTTTTGGTCTAACATTTGTGAGACATTTTTTATGATTACAAATATACATAAACAATACATAAAACACTTTGTCAACCTGGAATCCCTTACAGTAGTATTGACATCCAGTTGGATAATGGATGTGGCCAATTAAAAAGCTTTCAATGGCAAACTCCCTGGCAAGATGTTAACAAGGACATTAAATCACGGGGTGAAGGGTGGGCTGGAATTCCTCCTGGATATCCTCTGGTCCGACAATTTTCAGCTCTATGCCTTTCAAAGGCGACCTTTTTGCAGGTCCAGCCATTTTTCTTGGGAGATCGGGCTGGATCAGACTTCTAAAAAGAGCAAAGCACCACAGATAACCACTAGAGGGCAAACTCCATTCTCCTTGCCCTTCTCTGGTCTGACAGTTAATGTGGGGCTTTGGAGGCCGGCCTCACAGATGATTTTTCAGATGTCCAGAAAGAAGGCAAATATGACCAACTCAATTTCCTGCCATCCTTTTGTGGTAAGACAAGTGGTGTAGTCAGGGGAAGAATGAAGTGGCAAGGAAATGGGCAAGTCCAGATCCCCTGGCATAGGTCCCTAAACTTTGCTTTCAGACCACGACCTGCCTAGTATTTTTACCCCTGGTCAGCTGTTGCAGCCATTTGCTATTCTCTAAACCTCTGGCTTTGTTTATCTATATTCGCTCCACTTGATGAGCTCTTGCACATCCTTCAAAGCCCAGTTCAAATGTTCCACCCGGACCCTCTCAGCATTCCCACTTCTGTGCTTCTACAGCACTAACTTTGGTTAGCAATTATTTATGTACTCTTCTGTCCTGTAGAACAAGAGGGCTCTAAGTCTATATCAGCATAGGTCCTGAACTTCACCTGCATTACATGTCTTCACCTTCTCCTATATTAAGAAACTTTATTTCTTAGAGTGTTAGGGATCAAACCCAGGACCTCAGGCATGATAGGCAAGAGCTCTGCCACTGATCCATATCCCCTATCTTTGTTTTTTGAGGCAGGGTCGTACTATATAATTGAGACTGACCTGGAACTCACTCTGTAACCCAGGCTGGTCTTGAACTCACAGCGATCCTCCTGCCCCAGCCTCCTGAGTGCTGGGATTACAGATATATGCCACCATGCCCAGCTCCCCTACCCTTTTTATTTTTTATTTTTGAGAAAGAGTCTGTCCAAGCTGCCCAGAATAGCCTCAAGCTTGTGATTCTCCTGCTTCAGTCTCCTGAGGAGCTAGGATTACAAGTGTGTACCACCACATCCAGCTCACCCCTAATGGACTTTCTTGAGGGTAAATGCTGTATCTGATTACTCTAATCTCTGCACTGTCTAGCTCAATGCTTGGAAAGTAGACCTTCAAGTTTCATAGACTGAAGTTGCCTCCTTTTGGGCATGTAACTTGCATCTCTCTGAGGATGAGTCAGCTTCTTTATTCAGTCAGCAAGTAATTATGAGGGATTTTCTGTTGTGTTCAGTGTCATGGTTGGGGAGGGTGGTCCAGAAAGTGTACTGTTATCCAGGAGTTTGTCTTTTGGGGATAGCAGACAATAACAAAAGAGAGCAAAACAGCAGAGGGAGTGAAATAGTTGAATAGGAATTTTCTGCTGTTACACACACACACACACACACACACACACACACACACACACAGCACTGGTTTTAACAACCATCCACAGACTAGAGTCCATAGAGTAAGTCTGTGGGAATCAAAGAGTCCAGGGAGGTTCTAGCACACAATTAGAGAAGTAAAGTACAAAAGGACAGTTTCACTTTCCTTGCATTGTCCTTCCCTATAGCGGCTCTGCCTTGCGCCGTGAGAAATCCCCTCAGCCCATGATTCCTTCTGCAGCAGAAAACAAGAGTGCAGGGAATGAGTGTCCAGCTTCCCCAGTCATGCAGGACAGCTTTAGAGAGGTCAAATAAGAAAGAGCACAGCCTTTGCAAACAGAAAGGTTTGGATTCAAAGGCATCTCCCCAGCTCTGCCAAGTTGATTCAATGATTTGAGCTCTGGTATTCTCATCTGTAAAACAGAGATGATAATCTTCCAGATAAGGGAAGATCAGGTGACATAGGAATGTAAATCACTAGTTCCAAGCTCTTGAAACCCAGCAAATGCTCAATAATGGGGTTTGCTAATTCAGTGGCGTGCTGGAGCTGACCTAAAAAGGCCCAAGAGTGCAACTGGTCCCACACATTTCCTCTCAATTCCAAGTCCAATGAGACCATGTCAGTATCTTGGAACTGGCCACAGCAGGAATATTCACACCATGGAAATTAGCAAATACTATAAATACTACACAGCAGGGATTTTTCTGAGCAGTTGCTAAACATTTACCAGATATTCCCAGTTCTCACCATCACAGCTGAGAGTTATAACTCGTTCACTCCGGACAGCCCCAGTGCTATCTAGGCCCAAGAGTGCAACTGGTCCCACACATTTCCTCTCAATTCCAAGTCCAATGAGACCATGTCGGTATCTTGGAACTGGCCACAGCAGGAATATTCACACCATGGAAATTAGCAAATACTATAAACACTACACAGCAGGGATTTTCTGAGCAGTTGCTAAACATTTACCAGATATTCCCATTTCTCACCATCACAGCGGAGAGTTATAACTCGTTCACTCCACACAGCCCCAGTGCTATTGGTATTTCACCAGTGTAGCCGCTCATTTCCATCGGAAGCAGGCGATTGTGAGCTCGCTGGGAATTGTCTCACGGTGTGGTGGGAAGTGACCCAACTCAGTCACAACAGTCCACTGGTCACACTTCTTCATGTAACCCCAGACACACCCTTAGAAACAGAAAATCTTCCCCCCTCCCACCTCCAGGCAGAGGCTCAGGCAGCAATTCCAGAGTTCCCCAGGGTTGCAAGAGCCACTTTCACAAGATGATGTGTTTGTCACATATGAGCAGCTCTCTTGCCCAGGTGTGTCTCTGAGTCGACTCAGGGTCCTATCTTCCTTCTTGAGCTCCAAGCTGCTATGTCCAGGAATACTCAGAGCAGACGTCTCTGTGGGGACACCTCACCCAGCTCACTGTCAAGTCTTCACTCAGGAGCCTGCCCCTCCCAGAACCCCACCTCACACCACGATGGTCCCCTGGTGGGCTTTCTGGGAGCCCTAAAGGGTAGTAAGGAGATCCTGGCTTCTGGAAAGCCTGAGGCTGTCATCTTCCTCTGAAAGAGGAATTGTTGCCTGGTGATGGCACCTGAATGCCACACACACACACACACACACACACACGCACACACACACACTCACATGCACACAGGCTGACCAGAAAGGGGAAGTGTGCTCAGACTCATGCTCACTGCCTCTAGGGTTGGGTGAAGTCCTGTGGGTGAATACCACTTCTCCAGTTGCGCCCAAGCACGGCACTCAGACCACTGCTGTCTCCTCTGCCACTCATATCTGGACACCGTGGCAGTTCCGGTAAGTACTTTGGCTTTCCCGGAGATCATTTTCTGCCTTCTCCACCAGAACATCTGTCGGTGTTGGCATCAGGTTATGTGTCTATGTGAGCAGGTGCATATACTGGGCCAGAGGACTGTACTGAGACCTTGGTGCAACCACTGGATGGGGGTGGAGAAACACTGGCCTTAAAGATTTTGCTCTGCCAATCATGGGCTGGGTGATCTGAGATAACGTTTTACCTCTCTGGGCTGGTATGTATATGGGGATGATGACGTCTGCCAGGTTGAAAAGAACTAATGGTTGGGGGTGAGATAAGTAACTATAGGGAGGTTATTATCATTCCCTGGATACTGATGGTGAGATTTGTTTGGTACTTGATACACAAGAGGACTTTTATGATACTGTGCTAGAGGTAGGTGTGGGGACCAAGGCATCAACTAAGCCCACTTTTGCGGTTCTTGGGTGAAAGAACTGGAGCACCATCGATCTTAGTATCTTTGTCACTTCACCCTGCCTTTCAGGGACATCAAGATCAAAGTGTTAGGCTTAGGTGAAGTCGCGATTGAACCATCTGCTCTTGCCCATTTGGAAAATAAATTGGCAAGGTGATCTGAGTTCAGCCTTTCTACTTCCACTTCCCCTGCCTTGGGTACTTGTTCCTAAAGGGACTCCCTTCCCTGGCCCCCTTGCACACCTGGACTTCTGAGGGCATCAAGAGTGGGCATTGCTGCTAAGCATGGTGACGGGCACTGATAGTCCCAGCAATCAGGAGGCTGGGTTGGGAGGATCTCTGAGTTCAGGAATTGGAGACCAGCATGAGTAACACCTGTCAAAAAAAAAAAATCAAGTGAGCATCGCTGCACCTGTAGAACACAAGCTGGGCTTTTCTTTAAGATTTTTTTTTTCCCCTATGAAAATTTGAAAACTGCAGAAGAATAAGGAAAACAACGACTACAAATTGCACCACCTCCTCAGAACCACTGCGAAGCATTTAACATATTGCCTTGCAATCCTTTTTCTCCTGGGTATGGATGGTTTTGAGATTTATGCATTTTGTTTTGATGTAAACACATTCAACAAATGGGACTCTGCATGATACCTCTAATCTCAGCTCAGATGTTACCTGGTTCACTCCACTAGCATTACCACCAGAGAGCAATCGCGAGACAGTTTTAAATTTTCCTCTAGAACCACTGAGTGGCAGAGTTTTAAGTTTTCCTCCACTTTGTTTTTTAGAACCAATAAACAAGAAAAAGAGGCAATTTTGTTGGACCCCAAGATAAAATTTCGAGTGGTAGAAATCCTGGGACAAACTTACCAGGAAGCTGAACAATCCGCAGCTGTGGAAGGCTCTGCTGAGGGCAACAGACAGAAGTACTTTGTAGAGACTGACTGTAAGCTAAAATCACTTGCACCACTAAGAAAAAAGATAACATAGAACCATTCGTACAAATGAAATTTAGTCAACATTTGATTCCATTCAATAAAGAACAAAACCAACTGTATTTTTATCATTTTCATCTGAAACATTCCATATTTTAATCTGAGCCTTGCAAACTTTTTCATTTGGAGTTTGAAGCTGTTTGGGTTGCATTTCATTTTTAGAGAACTTCATTTGAGATGGCAATTCAAATGCAGGTGCAGTTTCTTTGAATGTCATGCTGTTGTTTAGGTAATAAGAAATACTAAGTAATTGGCTTTAGATTTTGTAATTTTTTTCCCTGAGTTCCTGCTAGGTTTTGTAATCCCATTTTTTTTTTTTTTTCCAGTACCAGGGGTTGAACTCAGGTCCTTGAGCTTGCGAGGCAGGAGGCGGAACCACTAAGCTAAATCCCCGGCCCTCTGCTAAGTTTCATATTCTGGTAGTCAATGTATTTTCAGTGATATATAAAAATAGTCCCATTCTCTTTGACCAGTATTAATTTCTGAGTATCTTATTGCTTGTCACTTGAATCCTATAGCTGTCATACATCTTTGGTATAAGCAATGTTTGATTTTTTTGAAGTGTGTAAACCATCTCTTCATATTTTCAGTATGTAATTTTACATTGCTGCATTTTTAAAAGTTTGGCCATAATTCTTGACGCATGCTTCTAATTCATGTACCTGCACATGTGACCTTTGTGAACAAAAATTTGCATGTATAATATGTGTTTACTTGTAACTCTCTGGTCATACACTGCTTATATCGGTGGATTCAAGTTACTGAAGTGAATACCAATTTTTAAAAAACTAAAAAAAAAAAGGAAAACACACAGAACATCTTGGAAACATTAAAAAATTGATCTGTTAGGTAATAGGGACTAGAAGTTCTTTTAAGAAATGATACCCAAATGTTTGAAAAAAGTGTTTATTGTATACTTAAGAGCAAGGCTGAGCAGTAGGGAAGGATGAAACCTGCTCTCTCACATTAAAATATCCAAATAATATTGCCATGTTTTCTTCCAGTTCAACCACATGATCAGGTAATATCATGTGAATGTGGCATAGACACAATTTTGAATTCTGCTGTTTTCTATTTTGGTTTAGTTTTTGGTTTTTTGGGAGATGGTCTCACTATGTAGTTCAGGCTTTTTTTTTTTTTTTTTTTTTTTTTTTTTTTTGGTACTGGGCATCAAACTCGGGTCCTTGAGTTTGCGAGGCTGATGGTGGAACCACTGAGCTAAATCCCAGGCCCTAGTTCAGACTGTTCTTGAACTCACTATGTAGCCCAGGCTGGCCTCAAACTTGTGGCACTCCTCCTGCCTCAGCCTCTGAGTTTTGGGATTACAAGCATGCACCGCCACACCGGGTTTGTTTTGTTTTAAATTATCTCGTAATAATTTATCTCATGATGTTTCCTTCCTAAATATCACTCTATTGCTGTATCCTCTCCCATCAAGTAATTCTGAAATGTACTTACAGTCCACGACTATTTGACTTCCAAGTAACTCAATACTACTCATGCAAAGGTAAATACATTTGTGCTTTAGATCTTTTGGGGGTTGCTTTTTGGGCTAGATTTCTAAAAGTATTATTGAATCAATGGATATAGCAATTTAAAAAATGTATTATCATTTGCTTTCCAAAAACATTTTTAACCCATGTACACTGGCTATGTGGGAGGATCAGTTTCACCCCAACTTTGTCAGAATAGGATTTTATCTCTCTTTTTTTTTCATTTTTTGATAGCAAATAGATGTAATTTCTTACTCTGGGCAGACAAATATGCCAAACAAGAAATAGGCTGTGATGAATGAGCAGGTGTAGACAGAGTGGAGTCCTGGAATGAAGTAAATCAGACTCAAGATTAGTCTGAGAGCTGACACAGTGTGATGAGCTATCACACTGAGAGACGCATGTTCAACAGGATGACTAGGCTCAGCCACCTTCTTAATTTTATAGGGTGTATATTCAGATGTAATGTCTTTTCTATGGAACAATAAGCATGTTGTCAGCCTTATATTCTGTCCATTCCTGCAGTATCAAAGAAATATGAGCTTTTTTGCATTTTATATTATAAAACAATTTATAATTCTGTTTACAACAATGTTTATAAATAAACTCACAAGCATTTCATTTATGCCCTATGTTTACTTTAATAAGATACTGCATGTATACAGGACGTGCCTGGGGGTAGCAATCTGGCTGTCATGAAACTGCATTTGCATGTGTTTTTTAAAACAGGCTAGGGCCGGGGATTTAGCTCAGTGGTTCCACCGCCTGCCTCACAAGAGCAAGGTCCCGAGTTTGATCCTCAGTACCAAAAAATAAATAAATAAATAAATAAAAATGAAACAGGCTAGGGATGTTGCTCAATGGTACAGCGCTTGCCTAACATACATGAGGCCCTGGGTTCAATCTCCAGCACCACCACAACAGCAAAAGCTTCACAAATTCACCAGTAAAATATCCATGAAGTGAACAAAACAAAGGTAGACATTTGTAAATATGTTTACATATCTTCTTTAGCAACAGGTATAGTGGATATAATTCATGTTTAAATAACATATACATATCAACATACTAAAAAAATTCTGACCCAAAATACTTTTTTGCACTAACATGTGTACATATTATTATTACCCATAATAAATTTAACTGGCAAAGAAGCTAAACTCATCATAATATATAATTAAAAACAATCAACAACAGCCTTTTCTCACTGTGCACGTCCTCCCTTGAAACCTTCCATAGCCTGTATCTCCTCCTTTCCCCTGGAAGCCCAAGGTCCATCCCTTTATTAAGCTCTGTATAAAGTTCAGCCATCTTGTCCTTCTCTGAGTTCATACTCCCTTGCACATTAGATTTATAAAATTTGTATGTTCTTCTTTAAAAAAGAAATCAAGGGTCACAATAGCAGAACACCGCTACTCACTCAAGACTGTGTCCATAAAGACCAGGAGCTTTTCCTTGAATTGCATAAATGGTGCCAGGAGTTAAACAGTGGCTAGACTTTCTGGCAGAATGTTATCTAACATCCTCAGCAAACTCCTGCTAATTTTAGTTTAAGAACATCAAGTTTTAGTAGTCATTAAAAATTTAAGAAATTTAGTGGTAAGCTGTCCCTTACTTTCTTCACAAAAATGAAAGTACATGGCATTACACGCCATTTGACAAGAGAACTAAAGAAATGACTGGCTTTTCTGGATGTGTTTAAGGCCCATCCAGAACACCCTGTGGTACTGGCAGAATCGAGCAGTAGGTGAGAGGGGAGGCTAGAGGAGAGAAGAGGTACTACTTCGTCTCCGTGCCCCTCCTCCAAGGATTTATGGTCTTTGATGCTTCTTCTCAATTTAATTTCAAGTATGAATCAGTTAATTATGCATCCATGGAAATTTTTGCCATTTTTATTGATTTTTACATAGTACCTAAATGAAAACAGAATGCTATGCAAATGCGGTTTCAGGACAGCCAGATTGCTGCCCCCAAGCATATACAAAGCATGGAGGTTCCTTGGCCTTGAGCCTCACTGGTGGGTCAGTTCCACACCTTGGATGTTCCAGTTCTTAGCTGAGGACTGAGTCGCCGGCAAGGAGGAGAGAGTCAGCACAGGGAGTCCTTGGAACTGCAGGGTGCAGAGGACCAGCAGGGCACACAGGGGTGGGAGAGTGCTGAGGACTGAAGTTGCTGGGGTGGGCAGGGTGCCAGAGGACACCAGCCTTGGCCATGCTAAGCAGTGAGGAGCTCAGACTCCATTCAGTTTCAGTTATAGAGAACTATTAGAAGGTTTACAACACAGGGGGGATAGGTTTCTTTTTTGGCAGGCAGTAGTGAGACAGACAGGCGTTAGGGGACTGCAAAAACATACTGGTCCAGGCACAGAGAGGATGAAGATTTGGACTAAATTAAGCAAAGTGGGAGCAGAGAGGAAAGGATGGATTTGAAAGCCAACGCGGAGTTGGCATAGAAAGGCTGACTGGCTGAGGGGCGTGGACATGGGGCCATGGGAGGAAGAGGAATGAAGCTGAGGCATCCAGCCTTTCACAGAGGAAGGACAGAGAAGAAGGACCCTGGACTCCTTTTAGTTGCCCTCTGCTCCACATATGCACACTGGAAGAGAAAGGATGGAAAACATCTCACACTCCGTGAGCTCACTGTTAATGAAGCAGCTGCTCAACTCTGGGTGAAGGATAGGGCCCTACTGACAAGAAGAGGTGAACTTTTTGCCCTGGCTAGCCAGATTTCTCAAGAAGTCACCTATAAATATAATCACAGAACCAAGTCAAGATGCAGTAAAAGCGGAGGATGGGTTTCCAGACTTCCAGGATTCTGTGCAAACACTCTTGCAACAGGACAGAGTTAAGAGTGAAGAACTCACAGCTCTTAGTTCACAGCAGCTGGAAAGAGTGATAGCAGATGGAGTTCCTGTGCACCCAAGCTGGATATGAGAGACTGCAGCGTGCCAGGAGAAGGCTGTCCTGGGAGTTCTGACCCGCACGGAGAATCTCCACGTGCGTAATTTACCAGACAACCTCATCCTTTTGCGGTGGACGGGAACTGAGTAGACCTTACTCTGTCTGGTGAGGCAAAGTCCCAGTCATCTGAGAGCCTCAGGATTTTGAAAGACTACCCTCACTCAGTTTTTACTTTGGAGAAGAAAGCCATCAAAACAGAGCCTGAAGATTCAAGATGGCTGTGATTCTCTCACTGCTCTCTGAAAATGGCATCAGATTTAAGGCTAACACTCCTTCATAGAAATAAGCCTTTATAACCAATGTGGCCTCCTTCAGCACAGATTTCATAGACAAAGCATCAACACTTTCTCAGTCTTCTGTGGAAACCGCAAAGACAAAACAACAGGCAGAAAAGAGAAAATTGACTGTTGCAATCTGTAACAAATACTGATCCACTCACATGCCTGTGAGCCGCTTTATGTGGAAAGGCTTAGGATGACTAGAAAAAGAGAAAGCAAATGCTCTAAAAAATTTAAGCTAAG